ACATTCATTCACACTATGATAGTGTAATGTAGCATTTTGTTTCAGGTTTTAACCAAATATTTCCAAAATTCTCCTTTTATCAACAATACTTTGTTAGTACTATATTACTTAGTAACTGTTTGACGGGTTTTCGCATACATCTCTATTGTAATTATCCATTGGATTAACAGGCCGGCGGTCAGTTTATTGGATTTCAGCCACTTTTGAACCCCTTCCAAGTCTTAGTTTAACTTTTCTTCAAGAGCTGCGGGGTCATAAGTGGAAAGGGTAAGTGAAGTGTCATCAGCATACATGAGTGCAGATGACGACAGCTCGCATTCTTGTAGGTCATTTATACAAATGACAAACAACAAGGGTCCAAGTACAGAACCTTGTGGGACCCCACAACTAACAGGAAGATAGTCTGATTGAGTTCCATTTACATAAGTACTCTGAAAGCGATTTGATAGGTATGATTTGAACCACTGAACTGCATGCGGGTCGAGACCATAAAGCTGCAGCTTTTATAACAATATGTTGTGGTCAACCGTATCAAAGGCTTTCTTAAGATCCAGAAAGAGTACACTGTTAATTAGGTCATCAATATTTAAGTACCAGTTGTTAGTAGCTTCAAGCAACACAGTTAAAGTAGAATGCATCGGTCTAAAACCATGCTGAGAAACTGACAGAAAATTATTGTGAGTTATGTATTCATAAAATTGTTTGAAAACAACCTTTTCGATTATTTTACTGACAACTGGTAGAATAGATATAGGTCTATAGTTGTTAGAATCAGACTTAATATCCTCCTTATATAGAGGTAATACTTTGGAAATTTTCCACTTGTCAGGAAATTCCCACACCTAATGGGTAGGTTAATTATATGGGTGAGAGAAGGCACGATTTCAAGACAAGCTTCTTTCAAAAGCCTTTCAGAAATACCATCTATGCCCCTAGCCCTGACTACTCGTAGGGAACTCACTAAACGGTGAACAACACCGCAGTGAGTCTCGTTCAGGGTAAAGTCAATTTTGAGAGCAAAATCTTTAGTATCTTCGTTGTAGTTCAGTGGTTGAATAGGTAACTGGCCTTTCCGTTGCTTAGTAAAAGTGTAAATTTTTTTTTAGGAACAAGAGAAACGGAAGCAGAGAATTTACCCGTCTCCTAAGGAGAATCGAGTGTCAGCTTCTGGATGGCCTGTTGGTTTTCAAGAAAAGGAAGTTTCGAAAAGGTCTGTATTTAGCTGAGCCACATCAAATGGGCAAAATTTCTTCTATCTTTCGAAGAAAGCGGTTAAGCGCACCTGTCACAAGAGCGTGACGTTTAATATTATATAAAAGATATTTACACAAGGACAGTAATATATTATTGGAGTAAAAAATTTGAATGTCTTCTTTGCGCCTCGGATTCATGACGGTTAACCCTTCTTGGAGTTAGCTTTTATTACTGTTTTTCTTTCCCCTTTATTCTCGAATTCCTTTTAAATATTGTTATCCCCTGGCTCCTAGGAGTACCTGGCCTCTGAAGGTCACGTGAATAAAGGAAAGGATCGCCATTTTAAGAGGCTCCTGAATGTCAAACAAATTCTCCTTGTCGGCACCATATGAAGTTTAAACAGAACAATGTGGAGAATTTGAAAACTGATATTAAAGTTGTAAAGGATTAAAAAGAATATCAAAACACCCAGCCTGAGTTTTGGACATTTCTTTCCCGAGACTAAAGTCTTAAGTTTTATTGTTTTTTCCTTTAACTTTTGTGTGTCTAAATAAATTAGTCTGACTTTCGGCGTTAAACAAAGGAAGTCACTGCCAATTCTCTGGGATTGATAGGTTGCAATATTTCCCCAAATCCTGAAGCACCGCTATACTGAGATACCAAATGCGCTTGTACATCTTAGCATAAGTAGGGAAAGGAAATTGAATAAAAAATATAGATCAAGAAGTAATCTTAAAAGGTAGTTGATTGCCTTAGGTATTAGACGGCAAGAAATAAGGCTGTCAGTTCGACATGGCACACGCAAATTCGTTTGATGAAGTTTAATTTAAGACAATCGAATGTTCGAAGTTCGTTGCTAGAGTTCCTCGTCATCACTTGTTCGTTTATTCGTTGCAGAAGAGAATCACAGACTAAAGCAAATCTGTTTTAAAGTTTCTTGGAGATTGCACAACAAAGAAAACTATTACTTCTCTTGCATCTCCTTTGATGCGTTCTTTCAAGTTTCTTTGTTTTTTTCAGATTATTGACGAGGTGAGGAAGCAAAGAGGACCTTTAATACACCGCCTGACCGGCGTGTCCAAAGAAGTACTTGACGAAGAAATAAAAAAAGCCATGCACGAGAGTGGATTGACCAAGAAGGTAGAGGATCTTCGTCAAAAAGACGAAGAAATAGCAAAGCAACCTGAAGACAAAGAAAAAAGTGATGAAGAGATACGTGAGTTGAAAAAACGCCTTGCTGAACTGAAAAATTAAGTGGAGGAGGCAGTATTTAACGACGCTTTAACTGGGGCAGGAGGATTGTCAACCCTAGCCGTGACCTCCGCATTAGTTAATATAGGTGTTCATCATTTTGGTGGATGTTACCCTGGCTCAGCCATTATCTTATGATACAAATTTTCGGAGAAGACGAATAAAATCTTTGAAAGTTGGTGAGGAAGTCTTAGTCATTACAAATAATGGCATCCAGTCGAATACAGTTATCACCTTCATCCACCGTCAGCCAGAAATTATCGAAGAATTTTTAATAAATTGTCACCACAAACGAGAAAATCCTCCTGATAACTACTGACCATCTCTTGTTATTGGAAGTAATGGGCCAAGCAACAGCCATCCCGGCCAGAGATGTTAAGATCGGAGACACAGTGTACGTGAAGGGGAGCCATGGTTCAGAGAAGGATTCAATTCGGAGCATAAACACGTACTGTCTACGAGAAAGGTGCGTACGCCCCAGTAACCCTGAGCGGCACTATTCTGGTTAACGATGTGCACACCTCCTGTTACTTTGATGTGCTCTCCCATGAGTGGTCCCACCGAGCCATGGGCATTGCTCGCGCCCTGCATTATGTGTCTCCATCGCTGGTGCAAAGGATCGGTGCTATTGGAGAAAAAAATTGATTCCCAGGTTGGTCCAGACTAGCTCATACGATGCTGATATTGCTCGACTGAGATTAACTAAAAAATTAAACTCTTGATATTTCTAGCGACGTTTTTTTTTTTAATTTTATACTCATTGTAAGTGTGATATGCAAAACAAACAAGTATTCGTAATTGTATTGTCTGCCTTTTTTTGAATTTTCACTTTAAATAGATTAGCAGTATTGGGTGTTACATGAATATCAATCAGTAACAAAGTCGAACTTTATCTAAGTGTTTAATCCTCTGACTACCATGAGTGACCAAGACAGAATTTCTCCTTACAATATCAATCTAATATCAAGCAGACAAGTAATGAGAATAAGTAAAAATGAAAATCAAGGGATTATCAGTTGATCTAATACCAAATTCTCCAAACTAACATCATCAGAACTGTATGGCAGACAGTAAGGAGAATTGCTAAGGAGGGTTGAAGCTTAAAAGCAACAAACCAAACATTAAGTGCATTTTTATAGTGTATCACATGCGAGTGAAGTTCTGTTAGCATACAGGTTTCAAAGATGCGTTACCAGAATTCTATGCGTGGTTTTGTACGTATGAGACTTTACACAATGTTAACTTGTTCGCTAGTTAACCAACGGTCATTAAGTGGCCAAGTGTATCTGACTCGTGTCTGGCCCTAAAAAATGCAGAAATCTGTTGTTACTTTGAGAGACTCCGTCAGCGATTGGATATCATTTTACACTGCCATGTATCGTTTCAGTTTATTATATCCTATCTAAATAAACCTCTCTTTAATAGTATCAGCAAGTACCGTGTTTATCAGCAGTGCAATTTCTCTTACCAAGAAGTGTGTTGCGGGTTTTACAACTCGCTCGGCCGAATTAACGGGAGGTACCAAGCCTTTTCTCTTTTTATTCTTTTTCTCGAGAGCTATTGCAGCTTCGACTACCACAACACTTCAGATCTCTTTCTTTTTTAGCGAGGAGTAGCAACGTATTAAATACAAAAATCACAGACATGTTTAAGTGTAGCTAGCTGACCGTGGGATTTTCCATAGTGTATCCGTTCATTTTGCAAAGGGGGAAATTGGGTGGCTCGCTCCGAAGTACTTGTCGAGCACCAAGGAACCAATTAAACGCCAATGATCGAGCTGCGCACAAGAATCGCGCGCACAAACAGGATCTTCAGTGTGGGCAAAACCCAAGGTCAGTTTTACCAACCCAAACATGACCACCTATGAAACAAATTATTCTCAACCATAACAAACGATTAAGATGTCTAACACAGTAATAAGGAAATCCGCGAACCGAGCCAAGTTCGAGCACACACTAAAAATAAAAGATCAAAACTATAAATCTACCAAACAACACGTAGGCGCAAAAGGCAAGGCGTAACAAAACAAAAAGCTTAACTGAAAAAGTCTCAAAAATAACAACTTCCAATTTTACCTCATAACAAGTGTCAAAAGATACCCAATCACCAGATTTATTGGGTTTCAGTTACACAGAAACTAGAGCCACAGGCATCCCAGAGGTCGCAAGGGCTGATCTGATTTATGACGTGTGAAATGTGA